AGCGAGGGTGTGGACGGACGGATCTCCTGCCTGGGAGCCATGTTCCTCCTGCGAGTAACGGAGGGGGACAGCGAGGGGGAGGATGGCGGCGGGGGACGGGGATGGAAGAGAACGAAGAAGAGTAGAAGGTGGTGGCGTCGGCGGCGGCGACGATAGTGATGGTACCCACCGACGCTGTAAAAGCCTCCACATTCACAAAGAGGGTTCCCGGAGCAGCGGGGGCGGGGAGACTTGTGGGGGCGAGGGTGAAACTCTTTCGCGGACGATCCTGCAACGTGCCGCATCGACTGGCAGCTTTGGCCCTCCGACGACGTCTACTTTGTCGTTGCTCTTTCCATTCTTTCTCATCGTGGTGTCTCGTGCCACCTTCGCGACGGAGGCGCAATAATCCTTTATTAGGTCAACCCTTTCTCGTTTGCCCTTCTCGGAACTGGTCCGCGATTTTTCTTTCAACTCGCGATTTCGTCCGATTGCATCGCGAAGACAAAAGCTCCCGTTCGCGCGAGCTTGATAACCGTCCGTTTAATCAATAAATTAAAATGTTTTTGAAAGGAATTAAAATGAATTCTAAATGACAGCGGTTTCATATTGGAAATAAAACTTGCTAGGTTTTTTTATGCCGATAGATACGTAAAAGCGAGTATTTGCTAAATGAATTATCCGTATGCGCTAAAAATCAAACTTTCAGTTTGTTGTTTAATCGTCCGATAAATTCTCGAATGACTCAACAATATATCCGATAACTCGATAAACTCCGGTGCTCGTAAACTCACGCGGCTCAGGTTACTCGGTAAGTCCAGATTACCTGTCCTAATCGTTTCGGACAAATTGAATTATATCGCACGCTTTTACAGAGACAACGAAGTAAACCGCGACAAACCAACTTCGGCGAGAGACGGCGAGAGATAAAGTCGTCACGAATTAACCCATTGTCGTCACAAGTCGAAGCACTCCCGACATCGTAATCTTCAATTGCGAGCGCGTATGCCGGAAAAACTCTGATATTATTTTTATTTATGTATATACATTTTTAATTATTTTAATAATCTAACGCAAGCGCGATGTTGATATTTTTTCAGCTTTTTATTGAAACTTTTTTTCATTGCATTATTTATTAATTCTTTTTTCATTCTACTAATTTTTTACGAACGTGTCAATTTTTGCACAAACAAATTGCACAAAAATTTACAGTAAAACGTATTCGACCACGAAGAGTTAGGGCAACAAATTACTCAAGATCCCTGCGGAGTACATGTCCAGATATATCAAGGAAAAGTCGATATTAGAATGGCTCGTCAAGCCGAATGGTGTCTTTTTAATAAATTGAACCCTTGAAATGCGATTAGGTGTAAACACCCTATTTTAAGGGAGGAAGAGCACGCGAGGGTCGCCTCGTAACACGGCAGAAGCTTTCGTGAGTGACGGCAGATAGACAGCAGGAGACTTCAGAGTTTCCTAGTGATGCTACGGGGGTAAACTCGAGGGTGACAGATGATTTAGCGCGGTGTTCCTTGTGTCAATATACCAAACATCGCGTGGAAATAGTTTGCCCGCTCAAAATGTGCTCCTCATTTTTCCTCCGTCCTTAATCTAGACAAGAGCGACAAGAACGCGCAAAATGATGATCGGCTAATTTTTAATTCAATTAACATCTTTTTATGATAAAAATTTGCGCGAATCTAAAAAGTGACAAAATATATGTTATAGAGATATTAAAAAATTAATAACTAATAATTCTAACTTAGCTCTAGCTAATATTTTTGCAATCTTACTTTTTTATTTTTACAAACTGGAAACATTTGTTTTTTTTTTTTAGATTTTGCAATATATTATCTAAAATGTAAATCCTGCTAATTGTATGAATTGAAAGCACATCAGAAATATTGTAGCGTGAAGATTTACGACGCGACGTTACGCGAGTTACGTATTCCAATCGCGCCGCGTGAAACCTTATGCGCGCGAAATCCGGAACGAGAAATCGAGCGACCAACGGATGGACGATCACTGTCGAATTTGATGAATCTAGTTTGTTAAACCGCGAGCCGGATTCCGCGCCGGTAAGGGTGGCTCGAGCGAGAGAGTGTGTGACGAGGGTAAGAAAAATGACCGACCGGAAGAAGAGATCCTTTACCGGTGGAATTCGAGTGTCAATCTATATCCCCCTTTTTCCTTCTGATCCCTTTATCCTCGGGGACTTGGTCATGGACGGGAGAATGAGCGTAGGAAACGGAAAAGAAAAGTGGCGTCTGATCTCGGGGAGAATGTAATGCGCGAGGACGAGCAAGGATCGTGAAGGATAAAGATTCGAGCGAGACTACATCGGAAAGCCAGACAGATGTCATCGATATTGACTTTACGTTTGTTTATTGAATTTGATTTGACACTTTACGAAATATCGAAAACTAAGTAAGCAAAATATCTTACATTCTTACATTTAAAAGTTAATTTTATATATATATATATTTCTAATAATCTTAATCAAATTAATTTTTTACTTATTCATAATTGTTTTGTGATTCACGCTAGAATCAATTGAAACTTCAAAGATTACCGAAGCACAGCGCGAATCTTATTTCATGAATCAGAATTAAGTGGAAATTCTCGAATCCTACCGGGCACGTCTAATCCGTTCTGATATCGAAATACAATGTCGAACGGAGTAATTGATATCCGTTGGATTGGACGGGTGCGCCTTCGATCCTCCGCACAAAGGAAGGCGCGCACGGGCTCGATACATTCACGTTAATCTCGATAACCCGATCTATCGGATGTCTTTCTTTTCTGCTCGTTGTCTATCGGGGATTGTTCGAGACTCGATTTCCACCGAAACAGCCGGGATGAGCCGTACGTTTCGCCTCACCTCACTTCGATCCGTCAGTGTATTCCTGTTCCTTTTTTTTCCACTGGCAAATACACTGTGCGCAAATCTCCAAATTGATTTCCGCTTTTTTTACGGACAGAAAACTGAGTAATCTTGTATTAATGTTTCGCAACGTATAACGTGTGATGAATTTTTAATTCGCTAAATCAATGCTGTATTAAACGCAATCACTGTGTATTTTGCACAAAAAGCATATAAATTTTTCATTTATTTTCTCTTTAAATTCTGAACTTTGAATTTATTAAAATGAAATAAAAATACACTTCAAGGAATAATTTCCTATAATTTATAACAACTTATTTATAATAAATAGTCGTCCCTTAACGGGCATCGCTTATTCCGCAAAAATACATATAGAATATGATAATCCCGAGAAATTGAAAGCCCTTATATCGCCTATCCAAGCACTTTCTGCCCTACACATCCTTGCCGTCTCATGGGCGATGCAGGCCGCTCGCTGAATTCTTTGAAAAACTACTTTGCAAAATTGGGGACGCGGCACGTGAAGGGAGAAACGAGGCGGCCGAATAAATAATAAATACGGTTATCGTTTAGTTGATATTTTGAAGAGGGGGTGCGGACGGTAACCCCGTCCTCTCCCCCCCTGCCCTCGTCGTGGGGTCGGAGCGAGAAAGAGATCAAAGCGGATCGGAGATAGAGGCCGGGGGAGATGATCCTCTCGCTACATTTCTATTCTCCAATTGCTCGGCGAGATAGTTTGAACCGCGAATCGCGCACCGCATCGGTCGCACAACAACGCGATCAATCAATCGTGACTATTGCCGATGAATAGGCATCAAGCTAATTCGGAGCGCGGAAGCTCTTCGGCAAAACACGTAATCGTATTCAAGAATGCTGGTGCGAGGTTCGGAATGCAACGCGAAGAAACAAGTGCGATTCATGAAAGAAAAAGATAATGATAAAAATGATAAAATTGAAGATTATTAAAAGATTTCAACAATTTGAAACAATTCGCGATAAAAAATATTAATTTTGACTATAAAAAATTATTATTTTCAATTTTCTTACCCTGAAACTTGAAGCGCAATGAAAGTCATTTCAACAGTACATGTTCCTCAAAATATAAATAACCAATCCTGAAAAATTACAAGTGAAAAACTTAAATCAAATCCGATATTTTTCCTTTGTCTCGGATTGAAATACACAATATTTGGAAATCCGAAGTATCCCCCTGTGGAAATATCGATTTTCGGGAGACCTGAGGCCCACAAACGGTCTCACGTGAAGCCGATGATCGCGCGGGTAGTTCCGTTCTCTCCGGTGTACGATGGCCGGGCGATGGAGCGGCTAATAACGATAACGATACCAGAAACGATAATAGAGTTGGGGGTTTCCGCGGTTTCAACGGCTCTCCCAGGGCGCTGATTGCTGGAACGGTGCGGCGGTCGGTTTCGCCGTCGGGATAGCGGCGCCGCTTCGCCCAGCAATTGCTACTGCACGCAGAAATGCAACCCCCATGCATTAATTTAAATACCAGAGTGTTCCACGTCTATTGAATCAATTTATTGTCAAGCTTCACTTCATCCGACGCATCTCTTCTTTCTTCCTCTGACTTTTTATTCTTAATTAGAGCGATGCAAATCGGAAGCATTAGAAAACAATCCTTCTCTTCAGAAAGTAACGCCTTAAATTAAAAAATATTTTTTATCTAATGAATTACCTGAATTATATATTAAAAAAATACAAGTTGTGAGTATTAAAAATATCAAAAATAAAAAAGAAATAAATGACATTATGCATGTAGAAATTGAAGAACCTTTAAATGGAGCAATGTAGATCTAAAAAAAACAACAGAAAACAATTTTTTGAATAAAAAGTTAATATTTTGAATTAAAAAATATTGCTGATAATCTCTTTGAGTTATGTTAGAAAAAAGTAAAGCATAAAATAACGGAGTATAAATTAATAACTAAAAGTATGCATGCATACATTAAAGAGACACACGGAGGATAATGATGAAGGAGGCGCGTTCAAGAAGGATGCCGACGTGCCGGTGCTGATATCGCTACCACGGCTGGTGTGTATGCGTGCGCGAGTGCGGGCGCAGATGGAGGCGTAACGAGTACACAATGCTATGCAAATTGGTTAGACTCGCTATGCCGCGTCGGGCCAGTCAATCGCCCGGCCGGTTGCCTCCAGTCGCGGCGGCGCGATGGTATTACTAACATCGCTATTCTATTATGACGTTACGGCTCCCCGAGCAGCAGCACAGCAGCAGCAGCAGCCTATTACGGTGCCGGCTCCCTCCAGGCGTTCGATTCGCGATAACTCGCTAACTATAGCGGTCATCGAGACTCTCGTCGGAGAGAGAGACAATACCGGAACGCCCGCCCGCGGCCGACTTCCCGATTGATTTTCGTTATATGTTCGACTGATTTTCTCGCTTCAATTGCCGGTCCCCAGCTGAAAACTCGGCGCTTTTTAACGCCTTTGTAAGGAAAAAAATATAATGTCCCTTTCGTGACACTAATTACTAAATAAATTAATAGATTATGCGATGCGATGCGACAATTATTTAGAACTGCTTGGCATCAGCTTATAAATATTAGCAGAGTATTAATATAAAATACGATCTTAATAATAATGTGCATAATTCGATATCATAAATTTCAAAATAAATTTATTAGAACCAACATCTATATTTCTGCAAACGTAGAAAAATAATGTTTGCTTATTACATATATGATACTTTCAGAACATCTTTTACATCTTTTATCCGTTTATCTCTTTCTTCGTCTAAATAAATATCAACATATTACAAATACACTGTAATACACATTGTAATGGACCAGTGCCGGATCTACACATAAGCTAGATAAGCTACAGCTTAGGGCCTCACATTATAAAGGGGCCTCCTTAGTATATACATAGAAAAGATTAAAAAAAATGTATTTTTTGTTAATAAGATGAGGGCCTCCTTAAGGTCATAGCTTAGGGGCCACAAAATCGTACATCCGGCCCTGTAACGGACAAAAGAACATAATATAAGGACAAAAAATATACATATGTATCTTCAAAGAAAACAGAATAATAAATAACGCATATTACATAAACAAAAAAATATTTGGTATATAAAAAATGGAACGTATACTTCAGATTATTCTAAACGATATCTCTTTTTACTTGGTTGCCTATCCTCTTCGTTAAAATCATCCCAATTGTATCTTTTATTCGATACATTTTTGGACGAACTGGTAGGCCCTCGTAATTGATTAGGACGCTGCTCTTCTTCATCGGATTCGTCTTCACTCTTAATGTGATGAACCAGAGAACTTGTAGGTTCATTAAAATCAGACATTTTCACCGCGGTCATTCCGCTGTAAAACAAATAATTCGTTATTTCTAATTCTAATGTGATATAAAGAATCATATTTTTAAATAACGTACTTGTTTTTGCGATAAAGTTCATGAAATTTCTTATGATTATTCAAGTCGGCAAGCTTCTGTAGGAACTTTTCATCATGGCTGATTATAATCAACTGGAAATTCTTTTGATGTCTTGATCGCAGTTCGACCACTCTGCAATATCAGCGTAACATTAATATTATTTATAATCGCTTAAATACAATTTTACATCGAAGATAAAAGTAAAAGCGTACTTAGTTAGCGTGTCTGCTAAGCTGTTCGCATTTTCTTCGTCCAAATTCGTGGTTGGTTCGTCTAATGCGAGAATACCACAATCCTTACAAAATGTTTCTGCCAAGGCAAGTCTTATAATTATTGACGCCAGCACCTATAAAAAATCGCGAGTTTTGAGTAAACATAATGTGTTTCACTGATTACGAGTGTTAATTGTTCGACGCAAAATACTAATTACCTTCTGTCCAGCGCTGCAACGTCCTTTCATGTCCATTTTGCAGCCGTGTTTAGTTTGAATCAGCTTGTAATTGTAGCTTCTTCTACTGCTGCCTACACCCTCCGTAGGTTCCGTGCAGATTTCGATGCAGCTTGTATCTGTCCCTTTGTAAATGTGCTTCCACAGTTTCTTCATTATCTTGTTGACAGTCGACATGCGCTCCTCATGATAGTCGATCATCGCCGCGTCCAATACTTTGCTGTAGATTTTCAGATTGGCTATAGCGTTTTCTTGAACCTAAGAAAAATATCCGAAATTACATGTTCGATCATTGCATAATACAACGGATATAAATATATATTATTTTGTATATGATTTTACTTCTAACTCGATGCATTTGTTGGTGTAATTTCGACGAGCTAATCGGTATTCCTCTTTTCGCAACTCCTGCGTGTATTGTTTTATTACTCTTTCTAATTCTTCCTGATTTCCGAGTGCTACGTTTTTCTAAAATTACAATTAGACAATTTTGAATCAGTCAATATATTAATATAATTAAACAAATTATAAAATATAAATATATCACTTACTTGGCGAAGCAACACCTGCCTCTCATTTTCTAACTGATCCCACTTCTTCGTCATCTCGTCGTAATTCATATTTTTCAGCTTTTCGCGTAATTTCTTGTATTGTTCCGTTAAAGCTTCTACCGTTTCTTTAATTTTACGCAACGTCATATTATCTAGCAGTTCTCTCCTTCCGATTTCTTGACAAGCGACGTCCTCCTTCAACTTGTTTATCGTTTGTTCAACATCTTTTCTCTTGTTCGTAAGATCTGTTAGCGAATCCTGATAAGACTTTATTTCACTCTCATATCTCGCGAGATTCGCGGTCACGTTGCTATTAACAAATGACTCAACATCGTCTATTATCTTATGCAATTCGGACAAGCGTCTAGTGCTTTCGGCCGTTGATTGTCTATCAACTTCCTGCTTTTGCCAGTTGTCCGCCTGTAATAAAAAAATTTCAATATCTATTCACAAGCTTTACATATTGTTGAATTATAAAATGCGCGATACTTTCGTATTTATTTATAACAAATTATCTTATTTGAAAATATTATAAAAGACGAACCTTAGTTTTTTCCAGTTGATTAGTACCGGAATCTAATTGATCCTCGGCATTCGCCAAATCTTCTCGTAACTTGTCGACCATTTCTATTACAGAAACTTCTCGCGTGAACAAGTCCTCTCGCTTGTCTTTCAAATGTTTTATCTTTTGCATATCTGATTGGATTTTTAATTGTTGTTCATGTAACTCATTATATGCTGCTCTAGCATCATGCAATCTGTCATTATGTTTGTTCAATTTAAGCTGTAGCGCTTCGATATGATTACGAGTTTCTCTAAGAGATGTTTTCAAAGAATCTCGCTGCGCTTGCGCTTCTTCTATGGTTCTTTCAGTTTTGACTCCTAGAAAAAAATATTTTTGTTAAAATACAGAAGATATTAATTAATAATGATAATGATAAATTATTACAATCGCCTATAATTAGCATTACCAGCATTGTTCATTCGACTTTCGAGACTATCAACAATTTTCTTTAATTGTTGTATTTCATCTATGCATCGATCCCAAAATTTTATATCGCCAATCATATCTTTGTATAGCAATAACTTCTTCTCAGGCTCTTCCTTCGATGTTTCTAAACTTTTAGCGGCCGCTTTTGATTGCACTGTATTATTCTTTATTTTCTCTAATTTTTCCCTAATTGGAAAAAAATCGGAAATATATTAAAACTGTAACAAATTATAAATAAGATAGAAATAAAGTGTAAAAAATATATAATTAAATTAACTCACTTCAATTGTGTCAAATCGTGCTCCTCACACTGAATGATCTTTTCCACGATAGGTTTTAACTGCAACATATTGTCGTATTTTTCTTGTTGCTTCTTTAATTCCTCCTCACACTTCTTTAAACGATCAGGTTGATTACGAATTATATCACTTTCCATTTCCTTTATTAAATCAGCAGCTTTCTTTTGTTCCTCGAAATTTCTATGGCACAACGGGCAGCAGGGATCCTTTTCAGATAGTTTTTTAATATATTCTTTATAGGCTGTAGCTTGATAAGCATAAACGCCTCTCTTGTCCTGAAGATTCTTTACTATCTTTGACTGCATCAACAAAGTCTGGTTGAAATCTTTGTAATCGCACACTGTAGATATCTTCTCCTTATCACCTGAAAAGAAATTGCCAGAACTTACACGATCAAAATTATCTTAAAAAATATAAAATTATAAAGAAAATGTGAGTATTCTTACGATGTAGTTCTATTGTTTTTCCATCAATGTCGGATTTTACATGTCGCAGTGTTGTTTCCAAAGCAGTAGTTTTGCGTTCTTGTGCTTGAATCTCGCGTGTTAAAGTACTCGTTTCTTTTTCCTGAAATTTATAATTAATAAGATTTTATAAGCATATAATACGTATTAAATAAAAAACCAATCACATACCAATTGCTGATGAACGCGTTCTAAAGTATTTTTCAATTTCGTTTCTGGTAATTTTTGAATATTTAACAATGTCTTGATGCTATCTCCATGTTTGGTTTTCAAATTCTCCAATTCTTCTTCTTTAGCTTGCAACGCTGACTTTTTTAACTCGAATTCCGCCGTTAATGAGCTTAATTTGTGCAAAGAAGAAATCTCATCATCGATTGCGCTTAAGCTCGCTTCAATCTTATCTCTGTTTTTTATTTTGTTTTCGACATCAGCTTTAACAGAATCGACATCTAACGCATTGCTAAGTTCATCAACTTTTTGTTTTGCTGCTTGTAGTTTTTGTTCGATAGACTCCAACTTATTTCCCGCTGCATCAATCTAAAAAAATTAAAAATTATTGTCTTCATTAAAAACTAAACACTTTTATGTTAGAATTTTTTATGAGAATGTATTACCTGTGCTATCTGACTTCGAACTACAGCAATTTCATCTCTTATCTCTGTTGCTTCCTTCTCCTTGAGAACTTTTTCCGATTCTATCTTTGAATGGTTACTACGCAGCACATCAACTTCCTTTTGCAATTCTCTTTCCTGTTTCAGCATGATCATTCTATTTTCCTCTACCTCTCGCTCCACCTCTCGCATCTTTTGTTCCAATCTTTTCGTACGAGCCTTCACCTCTGTATATAGAATTTTTGCAAGATTTGGTAAACAAAAATATTTGTTTAATATTGAAAAAGCAATGTGGTTACAAATTTTCAAATACCTATTTCAGTGACGTCTGAACCAACTGTATCAAAATCCCATGCTTTTAGCGCATTATTTAACAATTGATTACGACGAACTATTCTTCTCTCCTGATCTTTTACTTGTTGCTTTAATGTACCTACGGTTTCTCTTCGTGTCGCTAAGATATTCGAGATCCTAGTTTCTTTTCCGCTAATACTTTTAATTTCAGCTTCATTCTGAAAACAAACTGATGTGTAACGCGAATAATTAGAAAAATGATTACAAGCATATTTATTTATACCTCTGTTATTTCATCATTCTTCTGTTTTAATTTAGTAGCATAAGATTCTATGCGTGCATTTAACTCCTCTGTTGTTCCTTCAAAGATATTTTCTATAGTTTCTTTAAGCTTTTCATATCGTTCCTTATGCATGTTGTATTCCATTTTCTTTTTCTCTGTAAAAAATTTATGTAAAAAAAAAACACTTTATTTATAGTTTTATAAATTCCCACTTAACTTACCTTCCTCAGCCTGAACATTTTTATACTCTAAATGAAACTGTTGCACTTCTTCAATTTTCTGCTTCAAAGGCTCAAGCTGCTTATTAATATCATTAATCTTTTCCTTTGTAGTATCCAATCTCTTCTTCTGATCCTCAAGTTTGGTTTCTTTGTCTTCTACTTCAGATACAAACACTTTGAAGGTCTGTTTCTCTGCATTCAAGCTTCGAATGTCGCCTTGTAAATCTTTATACAGCTTTGAAATATTCTCCAAGGCTTTATTGAATTTGCTACTATCAAAGATTTCATCAAATCTCTCTTTTAACGCCTTTCCTTGATCAAATGGCCAGTTAAGCTCATCTTGATGGCAAAATATAACATAATTTAGAATTGATTTTGAAACACCTAATGCTACACAGAGTTCCGCATCAACATCAGCGCATCGATTGGTTATTGATGCTTTCTGTTTTAGAAAATCAAAAGAATCAAATTAAATGAACTTAAAATATAAAAGCTACAAAATAGTATAGTATATTTACTTCTTTTTTATCTTTGCTAACTCTGGTTACAGTATTGTCAAGAGTCTTAAATTTTTTCCCTGCTTTTGATGATTCAATTGTTCGGGATACTGTGTAAGTATTTCCCGTGGCATCAACTATTTCTGCTTTAACGACACCTCTCACCTATCAATAGAGATAATGAGGCAATAAAAACAATACTATTAATAATCCATCTCATAATTTTCAAAATTTATAAAATTGAATAAAAAGACTTGACAAATCATAAAATTATAAATTTAAAAAAATAATGTAAACTAATTATTAGGATATTTATTAAGGATTTTGATTACACTTAAAAAATTGATATCTATTATTTCTTAAAAATCTTTTAGAAGTTTTAAATAAAGAAAAAGTGTGGAAAAATTCAAGAAATACTTAATAAAATATCAAATATAATAATGAAAGAACAAAAGAGTCAACGCTAGAATCAGTTGTGATGGTTAACGATATGTCGATTTTGTTTTGTAATTTTCCTGCACTTTATTAAATGTCTTATTATTTGATTATGAAATGCATATGGATTTGTCAGAAATTATATGAACTTTGAATTCTATATTTTGTAATTTATTTCACATTGAAGAAGGCCTAATAAAGGCAGAAACGTCTGTGTTTATGTCATTTTTTGTACATGTTTCGCATGTATATATAGCGATGATTCTTTTATCCTTTCATTATTACGTTTGATATTATCCCTGGAGTCTTTAATTTTATTTTAATTTAATAAAATGACATAAATAATATTTGATATTTATAGAAATAATATATAATTATAATAAATACAATATCAATCAGATTAATATAATTACAGTCACACACATACCGAGCCAGTTGTTGCCAATACAGGATCGTGTATAAAAGATTTTCCTTTGTCCGAACCCGGCGGATATTCGCCTGTAGTAGCATACTTCAATGCTTCGATAATCGTGGTCTTGCCGGTGCCATTTGGCCCAAGAATTAATGTCAATGGGCAGGAAAAACGTATTAACGAGTCCTCATTGTCATCGCCGAAATTGCGTATCCCTCGAAGGGACAATCGGCGTATTTTGGACATTTTGTCTTATCTGAAAAAATGACGCATAATGGTTAGTCACACTCATTGATGCGTAAATAGACCGGATTTGTACTATCAATATTGGCTGCGGTCCACTTGACGCTACAAATATTTCGAAACGTCCTTTTAATGAAGAGAGAAGGAGAGAAAGAACGTTTCGAAGCATTTGTAGCGTCAAGTAGACCACAGCCATTGTTGGATTTAACACTTCTTTACATTCTTTATTAATAGATGATATAATTATTTGTTTCTATGATAAGAATCAGTATTCTTTTATACTCAGTTAAATAACGAAACGATGACATGTAAAGATTAAAGAGATATACTTACAGGACGAATACTCGACAGGGTTTGCGGATACGTGATGATCAAAACGCGCCAAATCACTGAATGCACATGAGTGTACCAACTTGTAATAGCTGCGCAGAAGAATGACGACGGTTAAGCAAGATACACGTTGTCTCTATCGTTTGCCAACATGCGACGTCTAATAAGAAAATATGTTTTCTAGGGATTTTGTTTGACATCATATTTATTCCTAGAAAAGAAAATTTCTTATTCGACGATCAGATGTGCATTGAATGACGAAGGGAGTATGAATCTTGCATCATTGCGACGATACGTCATTTCCGACCCGGCGTTCTCGGCATGCTCAGTCCGGTTCCATGTGTTTCGTTCTTCGTGATTATCTAAGTCTCGTGTTTCATCTAATAGACAAGGTTTAAACTATTTTGACAAAATGATAGACTTTCGCACTAATCCGAAAAACAGTGACAGCGATAATGGAAATTACAGCAACACTAATATACCTGGTAAATAAGAAGATCTTGAATATTGCATAAGTATTTTGGCAAGCTCTCTACTAAATCTCTTTCAATCGCGGTCTTTTTAATTTTTTATAAATCTTACAAAATTACTTTGAATATCATCGAATGGAGAACTGGAAATTGTGTGGTTATATAATTCCTAAAATTATGCTGTCATAAATGATTATTTCTTCATTTAATCATTTAAATTGGTGTCAAAGCATATTCTTAACCTAACCTTATTACATCAACGAATTTGTAACAATTTATTTTTTAATTTTGTATTTACTATTTAAAAATATTATAGAGATGTGAAACAATAAAGGTATTAAAAGATGGAAATTTTTTTTAATTTGGAAAGTAATAACTAATTTTTTGTAACATAAAAGACATATAAGACTAGTTAGTTATATAAACACATTATGAATAAATAAGTTTTACCTTATGTTATATTAAAATATTTTAATTTTTTTCAGTTACTTCACAACAAGGTTTAGCTCCACTTAGTCCATACTTAAATTTTGATCCCTCGTATCTTCCTGTCAGTCAACCAGAATTTATATTCCCTGAGGGTGCTATGAAGCAAAGAGGCCGCTTTGAGTTAGCTTTTAGTCAAATTGGAGCAGCATGTATAGCCGGTGCAGGAATTGGCGGAACATCGGGTTTATACAGAGGCATCAAAGCAACGTCTATAGCTGGTGAAACTGGCAAACTAAGAAGAACACAGTAAGTCTTTATATATATATATATATTATTTTTTTTTTAATTTTTAACTTCTAATAAAATATATTTTATTTCTTCCTTCCAGATTGATTAATCACATTATGAAGGGTGGTGCTAGTATGGCAAATTCGCTCGGGGTTATAACAATAATGTACACCTGTTCTGGAATTGCTCTGACTTGGCTCAGAGGCACGGACGATAGCTTTAACACAGTAGCCGCAGCTGCCACAAGTGCCGCAGTATTCAGATCACCTGGTATGCAACATGACACTTGCATTTATTATACTTATTTTTAATTCCTTAATGAAATTAACAATATTTAGTAACGAGTTGTAATGATATTAAATTTTAGCTGGAGTTAGAAAAGCTGGCATTGCAGGCGCTCTTGCGGCGGGAGTTGCAGTAATATATTGCATGTGGAATAACGGAGGCTTGCGGTCATTGCAACGTGTGAATGGATGGAAACACCCTGCGTAAGAATGTGTATGTGTTTAGTAAAGAGTTTAGTCAAATTATATTTCTGTCAAATATTTTTACCATACATTTCATTGCTGTTTCTGCAGCAATTACGACAACGGCAATATTAAAGATGTAAAGTTAAAAATTTTTCACAAATTGAATATTTATTTATAAATTTAGTTGGGATAAAAAGTGAATTATAAGTAATTTTAATTGAACAAATAATACGATAATTATGTTATTTAGCAAATGTTATGATTTAGATTAAAATTATACAATAAAGTATAGTTTGTAAAATGCCTTTTTATTAAATTTAAATAGATGATATAATATAAAATTATAATTCTACAAAGAATACTAAGAATTTTATTTACTAGTAAAGCCAATGTCTTCCGTGTAAAATATATATGTATATATAGCTTGCGTGTATTGTATTAAAATATTTTAAAGTAGTAAATAGTCTCAATCAAATTCTGGAAATCTTTTTATTGAAATAAATAAGAGTGTGCTGCGCGCACATGGAAGTAAATTAAACTGTCGTTTAAGTTGAATAAAGTATTATTACTACTTAATAAAACTACAGTAAAAATTCTATATTTGCTCATAAAAATAAAAACATTTCCTTTTTTGTATTTAATTAACTAATGTCATATTTTGCTAAATAAATTACTTTCCAAAATAATAGAATTTCAATTTTCTTTTTTATTTTTATCGTGTTATAAATTAGTCAGAAATCAGTAATTAAGTAAATAGAAAAGAGATTGTAGATAGGAATTATAAAGAATTACGAATTTCTCTCTATATATAATACGGTTCATAAAGTTTTAAAATTTAATGAATATTCTAATGCAATTTCTTTTCTTGCAGATTGATATGATATCAAATTGACATCTATATAACAAAGATATCTCCGATGCATTCTCATATCCTCATGTTATCTTGTACATAGAAAATCTCAGCGAAAGACACAAATAAATTATTGAGGAGATTAGGACCAAAGAAATTGAAAATAGCACTGTGTACATACGCAACGTAAATAAACAGACTGATGTTACACATGCTTATATCTGCAAAATTAATTATTTCCTAGCAAAATTAATTATATCCTTTATTTAATTTTTTATTCCATTTATTTAATACGACACATTTATTAAACATAACTTTACCTGCAAATGCAAATATATATTATAATCTTACACTTTACAGTTTTCTGCGAGAATAACTGTCACTTCATTCTTTATACGGACAACGAAGGTTTGTAGACGCTTTAATCTTATCAAGGTTTATCTTACTATCAGGCTCTAGTACGTTACGGGAATGAAGTGTTCTACCGATCAGAACATATTCGATCGTGTAGATGCATGTGTATTAATTCTGCAGTGATTATCATTTGTTTAAGAAGATAAGCGATATATCCGAATAAAATTATTTGAGAAATTTTTATTTATAGAACTGAAATAAGAATACGCAATACTCACATCGAACTTTAATTATACAAACGTAGTGAATGGATTTTTGTGAAGTGATATATATGGATGCGAATTTATTGCACATTTTACAGGTGAGTCAACTAATACAATCGCAATAAGTATTTGTTCCTATTTAAATGAGATAGTCTTATCTGTTCAAGCAAATGTCGACAAATTGCATTTTTCAATTTCAATATGTAGGATGCCAATAACGTACGTTGGATTTTCTAAACAATTGTACAAAATGCGTGATTTATTTTAAATAAAGTTAGTCATTCAATTAATCGTTCAGTTAAATTAGTAATAGCAATTAAATCAGTTGCTTAATTAATTTACTTTTACAATTAAAATTTCTAAAAAATTTCTACTGCGTACGAAAATATTTGTATTATTTACATTTGTATTATTTACATTTGTATTATTTACAATATACTTAAAATCTTCAAACAGATTAGGTATGATTGCGCAACTAAGCGACAAAGACTTCATTTCCTCATTGACTCACGTGTGAAATTTATCTCAGATATTACTTCCAAGTATTAATCTACACAATTTATCACACGAATATTGTCCACACTGGCTTTGATAGTGCTAAGAGAGAAAAATGTTTAAAAGATTACGAAGTTTAACCGGAAGTAGTTAATTATATCAAAATGAGTCAGAAAATTTCCAAAAAGGGCGCATATCTTGGTTCTTTAATCAGCTACACTGATAAAACTTCGGATCTGAATAAATTTATCGCATATTATGTTGCAATATTTGATATCATTAAAATACTCGTAATTCTGAAATAATTTTTTTTAAGATTTCTCCATTTTTTTCTTAAATTTAATTAAGGAATTAATTATCAATGAAGAATATTCACTGCACATATGGAAACAGGTCGAGTTCGCATATGTAGAGTCAATATTTGTCCTGTAAGATTTACAAATGTTGTCAAACGTCACAAACCGCAGCCGCGAAAGAGAATATTTACGAAAATCTACGGCTTATTTAAACAAGACATGTGGGAACGTAATTCTTGTATACACAACGCGATATTACACGAAGCGCGAAAGACCAGCGTAAATCGTGGAATAGTTCCTTCGAATCTTCTAACATTAACGGACGAAACGATGTAAAATTGAGGATTAAAAATGAAAAGTACAATGTAGAATTAAAATCTCAATCAGTGTTTTCTAGTTAAAATTCTGCATCTCTGTGCTTACAAACAGTTATCTTCATGTTATCAAACTCATTTAATAATATTTTGACGCGTTTAGTATTATCAAATGCATCAAATAAAAAATATTTTAAAACATAAAAACTTCTACATTAAACAACTTAATCTATTTAATAATTCTGTACATATTTTATGTTATAACAAAAATTAATCGAATTTATTATTTCGTGAGACACAAAGAAGTGATTAAAAATTATATTTAATTACAGTATTTAATTAAAAAACCAGAATAAATTAATAAGAATGATAAGATTAATATTTAATCCAAAAAGATTTTGCCAATAACTTCATAATTGTACATTGTTCCTCCAAAACTGCACGTGCGTATCGCTTCTTGCACCGTCACCCAAATGTCAATATTTAATTGCCTAGAAAAAAACAGGTGAAGCCAATTAACTCTGATTAGCACCTCCGAGTTTCCCTCTAGCCCGGCTAATGTTAGAATAAAGAGAATTGTATTATCCCCGCCGATGCCAATCAACGTAAGTGCGGCCGACCTTTCAGTCAGCAAGTGATCTTCGATCCTTACAGATGAGCATGCAAAGTAGCTCAAATTTGTCGCGAATGTCCTCATTTATACATTTCGCGATTCCGCCGTTTGTTTACGCTAAACTCAAATCTGACTAATGATCTGACGAAGTACACTTCCAAAGCTTTCGTCATCCGCTTATCATAACAGCTGGCGTAGAAAGTTACGAATGCGCTCGCTAAGTAAGGTGCTTCTTAGTTCAGTCTCGTAGCTCTTGCAGTGCATAACTCGTGCTTTTTTTCAGTGAGATCAATATCTTTTTTCCATCCAGCAGGCAAAATAATTTATTTTTAAGATAATTTAACGTGTTACTATTTTAGACAGTTCCGACTTCGGGCTAGTTCTAAGAACGCCGATTTTAGTTTTTGTGTTCAACTGTGTTGATTCTTCGTTCCTTTTTAGATTCGTTATATTCGTCGTAAATAGATAATGATGGATAACTCAATTAATTATTGATAAATATTAATCGACATTGTTAAATTCGGATTATCTTCTACTTGACGCTGAAATTTCCACTGCAAAAATATTAACATTTTTTATAGAGAATACATTAATTTCAATAACAATTTATTATCCGTTAAATAAGAAACATATTGTATCTTAAATTGCAGAAAAGTGACAGATTATATAATTAATAGAAACAAACGAGACAAAATTAATTCAAAGAAAAAATTGATTTGTAAAAATTGCCTAGAGATGCATTTTTTGACATCGATTTAAACACGAAATATTATATTACGTTCCGTACACGTTATTTATAACGCTAATACAAATCAAATTTACGGTGAAGCCACAGCGTTTATGGTGGACCTAGTTGAGCGCGCACACGAAATAGTCCAAATTGTAGGTCCATTTCGGTTCATTTCGCCGAAAATAGATCTATCGACGGTGCGTCGAATAAGAAGAAATGGCAGCTTTGCAAAAATATTTGTCTTCCAGAGCTGCCTCGTATGTTTCGGCATCCCACGCGAGAATCTTCGTGGTATTCTTTTTCTATCTACGCGCGGTTGGCAAATCACGATGTTTGTATAACGATTCCGAAGGATTAAAGAATCAATTAAATACAGTTAAACATAAAAGCGAGAATTAAAATCGACGTTTGCTAGAATGAAAAATTAAGATTTTTTTAAAGCCCGTTAAAATAATAATTAATATTAATTAATAAATAATACTTAATCGCACCACGACTTGAAATAAAACTTTACTTCGCTTCGGGAATTAATAGAAGTAATAAAACGATAAATTTAACTCTGGCAGCCCATAAACTTATAAAAAAAAATTGAACATAGATCAAGCTCATAAAATCCGTCTTAATTTTTCAGATGAACTCATCCTCATACGTCACAAGCTGTAGTCATTAAAAAATGAACGGAAAAAGAATACTTCTTTCACAAACATGAAATGAAGTCTGTGCCATTGTAACTTCGGCTATCGTTTCACGACGAGCAAGTATAAACGTGCATTGAGAACTCTTCTTTAATTAGCAGTTTGACTAGAAAAGAAAAGAGGCGTTGGTTAAACCGAATCATGAATACGAAAAGCGCGGAGGCTTGGCTGGCTTGGCTGTATATCGGTTCCATGCTGCTCTCCGTCACGTCTGTCGTCTCGCTGGTGACCGCATGGCAGCATTGGGCATGGACGCTGGACACTTGCATCGGCATCGATTGCGGCTGCATATTGTACGGCATCAATACGTTCAATACCTTTATCGGTGGCGACGTGAAACTGTGTCACTTCGCTACATACTGCCTCGTGCCGGGCATCATAATCGGCTTGTGCCTCGGCGGTTATCACGGATACAGGTGTTGCGTACATAAGGATCTGGACAGTCCTAAGCGCATGAGCCGTGGACGAGTGTACCACGACGACAGGTATTTATGAAGACTCCTCTTGTCAATGCGGATTAATCAAACAGCTTGCTTCGTCTCACTGAAAGAAAAGATGAAAATTGTTAAAAAAGCTTCGTAACACATAACTGCATGAAATCTCGTAGTATTCGATATATTAAATTTGGAATAAAATATGGACCTTGAATAAGTTCTCGCTGTTTTTTTTGTTAAAAAAAAACATTAATTTAAAATATAAGGCTTACAATAACTTTACTCAAAGTATTGTCCATCATTAGAGACCACTTTCTCCCATCTTTCTGGCAGTAATTGAATCCCCCGTCGAAAAACGATTCATCTTTTGACGCAATCCATGAATCGACCCATTTTTCGGTTTCTTCGAAAGAATGGAAGCGCTGCTCGCTCAAACCATGCGCCATCGACCGAAACAAGTGGTAATCCGAGGGGGCTATGTCCGGTGAATACGGCGGGTGAGGTAGAACTTCCCATTGAAGCGTTTCCAGGTAAGTTTTGACTGGTTTTGCCACATGTGGCCGAGCATTGTCATGTAACAAAATGACTTTGTCGTGTCTCTGCCCGTATAGTGGCCGCTTTTCTTTTAGAGCTCGACTCAAACGCATCATCTGAAGTCGATAGCGAGCTCCCGTGATAGTTTCATTAGGTTTAAGCAGCTCATAATAAATTACGCCCTGCTGATCCCACCAAATGCAGAGCAGAAGTTTCGAACCATGGATATTCGGCTTTGCCGACGATGTTGATGCATGACCGGGCTTACCCCACGATTTTCTACGCTTAGGATTATCGTAGTGTATCCACTTTTCATTTCCAGTGATGATACGGTGCAGAAAACCTTTTCTTTTATGCCGTTGAAGCAGCAATTCACACATGAGAAAACGTCGTTCAACGTCTCTCGGCTTCAACTCATACGGCACCCAATGTCCTTGCTTTTGGATCATTCCTAACGCTTTTAAACGTTTTGAAACTGTTGACGCATCTACTTGCAATGTTTTCCCGAGCTCTACTAGCGTCTGACATGGATCTAGATCAAGCAATGCCTCCAATTCTTCGTCTTCAAACTTTGTCGGTGCTCCAGAACGTTCTTTATCTTCAAGGTCAAAGTCATTATTTTTAAAGCGCCTAAACCAGTCTCTGCATGTCGTATTCGACAGAGCATTGTCACCATATGTTTCAACAAGAATTCTGTGTGCTTCAGCTGCAGATTTCTTTTGAATAAAGCAGTGCAATAAAATTCCCCGCAAAAACACTTTATTTGGCACAAAAGTAGACATTTTCGCAATAGGTAATTAAACACGTGGTTGACACTGTGGTAAACTGTATCTACTAGAATTTGAGGTTACATATAGTACTACTTAGCTGATGCGTTTCCGTACGAAATTCCATGCACAGAGTGCCGCTACGCCATCTTTTAAGAAACAGCGAGAACTTATTCAAGGTAATAATTGTGTAATTACCTTTTGTTCTTGATTTATGCATGAACGATTAAATTTCTCCTCCAGAAGCAATCTTAATAATAACGGAGAGACTGTTGTGGTTACCGTGAAACGAAGAGCCGGTTTTAAACAATGGATACCAATCGCTTTCCTCACGGCGCTCATCTGCTGCTTGTCTCTCGCCCACGCGGTCGTGATAACCGATGGCTATTACAAAACTTGCAATCACTACAGACGAAATCTCATTCAGCTCTTAGGCTCGAGAGCCAGCGAAATTCGGGTAAAAATCAGCATGATTGATTAATTTTATGCGTTTAGTGATGAAAGAAATAAAAATAAATTTTGAAAAATCACTTTACCTCGTTTCGTTATCGTTGCAGGTGATTCACAATAGGCTCCCTTGCGGTGCGATTTTCGATTACATGGATTATCTCCAGCCGGATACCAACAATTGGAGACGTGCCAGCGAGATTAATACAGGATTCGCGCTCCAGCTGGCAATCTGCGCGAGCTGGTTCACTTTTTTCGCTTGGTTCCTCGCCTGCTTGATAAACTTCAGCATGGCGAGAAGGAGGCTGCACAGCATAGGAGAGAAATTTTGCTATTGCTGCTGACGTCCTCGCTGTAAATTAATCATGATATGTTAATATAAGCATTACACGGTTATTACAGTACAATTTTTATACAGTTCAGGTTGGCAAAGTAATGCGACCGAACACGGATGTCCAATTAATGCATTTTAACGGTATACATTTTATTTATGCATTTTATACAGAGATAGTGTCTTCAATACCTATTTTCTCTAATAATTCAAGACTCATCCGCTGCCGTGGAAAATAATCGCGTTCCTCTCTCGTACTCTATTTAGTCGCATTCTTTTTATACATTTTTTACACACAATTCGCGTTACTATATTACACATTGTGTACATCGGAACAATATTTCGGATCGTCCTAAGAACAGAATGTCCGCACCTGTCGTATAAACGGACGCGTCATCTCTTTGTGTTAGTTTCTGAGACGTGATAATTGCTGATCGCGTGTGTGTTAACAAATCTCTCACTCTGTACAAATAATAATATATAATGAAGGATGCAACGAAAATACTGTGACACCTGTTAGCGCAGGCAGTGATAAAATTTAAGTATGAGCTGATAAAAGCATGCCTGTAAGCATTCGCGTGACATTTGCTTCACTTCCTGCGTGTGTGTATGAAAGAAAAACAAAGAGAACCTACAAACCAACAATAATAAATAACAATATACGAACATTGAAAGAAGGAATGTATCGTATCAACGCTATATATATGTTTAGTATAGCTATAAGAGTTTATACAATTGAATCGCATCTTCTTAGGACGTTAAATTAAAGACAAAAATGCTTGGTGTGTTTCTTAGCGCCTACTTTGCTCTATTTTACAGTGCACAGAATGACGGAGAGAATTTTCACGTTTGGAATAGCAACGCTTCTCTCTCTCGCGTGTTCAATAAATACATTCAAATAATTCGACTTCGCGTCAAATTCAAGGCGGTTCGCCGAAATTGAAACATTTAACTCTACCTGCATACGTAAATAACTCTCATTATTTTTGCGATAGCATCAAAGATTGCTTCTACTTCGCTATATAGATTACATATTTTTCACCGTTACATATAGGAACTAAAAACGGAAAACAACTTTTCAAATACACTATCCCTTACATGTACAAATACAATTGACTCTGTTTTTTTATTTTTCAATCTTATAATACTATCAGCTTTTATACTACACGACAGCAAAGACTGCAAAGCTTGCAACGCTACTTCATAAAGGAAGGCACCTAATCATACGAGCTAGTATCTACAAAATTATGTTACATCTCTTTTCATATGTATAATGCGTGCGCGTAAGAACACGTAGATTACAAACATCTTCTTTTATAATATTGTCACATCTTTTTACAATGAACTAGATCCTGTCCGTAGACTCGATTAGAAAGGCGCAAGATATTAGCAGTACAAAGAGTTCCGATTCAAGTCATTCCAAAAGTTATAAAATTCCGTCATATTAAATTCATTGGTAAGTCGAACAGTTTACAATTCAATGTGATAGAAATGAATATTAGTAAATGTTCCTGCTAAATACTAATATCGCTTCTACTGCTCGTACATTTTATTTAACAGTCCCGATTTGTGACGGGTGCGAGTTGCGTCGTTAGTGTTCATTTCAGATGAGTTGATCTGTGAATTATAGCGCTATCGAGTTTATAAGCAGTTACTTAAACGAGACATAGTCATCTTAGAACGATTCGATTGTTAATCGAGACTGTTAAACAATAAGTCAGTCTTACAAGATAAGGCCAATTCGTTGCGCGAATACTCTACTCGCTCTTTCACGACAAATATTCACGAGTCACGTGAATGCTATTATCTGCGCCTTTATAATATCGAACTCCGTAATTCTGTATGCGTTACGTTTAATCTTCACGAGGAATACTTCGTTACGATCTCTTCACCGAGAGACGATAAATACATAAAAACTTCTCCTCCCCCCCATCGAGCCCTGCGATTGAATTACACATTTACAGGTTTATATGTATATAGTATAGTTTCAGATAACTTTTCTTAGAAAAATTGCTTTGTAAGAACTAGTAGATTGTACTAGTAGAAATCTACAAATTTTTTAAAGTACAAACGTAGTGAAAAGACTTAGCTGCAAAAATAGATGTACGAGGTTTCTCTATTTTTTTTTCCCCTCATCATTTTTGGTATCAAGCTGCCAAGTTCCACAACCTGGTTGCACGTTGGAAAGTGTCTTTTTCTTTCTTTTCACAAAAAAAAGCAACGTTTTTTTTCCAATGTAATATCCCTCCCCCTCCTCCCGTCAATTTCTTATCGCCACCTGTCTTGTCTGTGTAAATCTTCTAAAAATGCAAAAAGTAATTAAAAAGTGGTAGTATATGAATTAATACTTTCCGACTTTAGTGTAAATCACGTCTTATACGACCCATCACACGTGTGTTCGATTAGGCATGTATGCATATAAATATATTTGTTCATGCTGTATGCCTGCTGATATAAACATATGCAGCTAGCTGCTGCTATCACATCACATTATCGACGTTTGTGAAGAAATATTCAAGTATCAAGAAACAATATCCCTGCTATTTCTATATTTTTCACGTACATTTTTATTCTTTTATTCAAAGATCTTGTGTCATTTGGTTAATTCAAAGATAATTTCAATGCTGAAGAAACAGCAAATACTAATGATTACTGCAGTACAAAACATTTTCGAGAGGTAATTGCAGAGAAATTTTACACGATAAAATATTATCGTAATCTCTCTTGAAACTTATTAAACACTTAACAAAGAAATTGAAAGAAATTGGCACGTTAAATCATGCTTCTATATCTTATATTTTTTCACAAACGCGCATCTCAAAAACAGGTAATGTAAAACAGGCATAATTACATTTCACTCGGAATTTCACTCTTCTGACAAAGTCGCGCGTTCGAACTCGGAAGGCGAATTGCCTCAAACGCATTTTTCTCTATATACAACCTGTATGTCGATTGGACTTCCTAGTTGGAAATTGTTTACTACGTCACTTTTACTGAGATTAAATTAATCTGGTTAACTGCTCGGATTTGTAATATACATAATGAAATTCCGGCCGATACAAAAAAAAAAAAAAAAAAATTTAGAGTATCACCAGCTGATCCGACGTTCACCGGGTGATCTCTACAAATATACACAACGTATTGATCAAATGTATCGCGTTAGTATCTGCATTCCTAGTGAACGGCCTTGTGCTAACTAGCTCTTAGCGGGAAGGACCTCATCTCAGGTGAACGGATTGCTCCGTCTCTTCAACGATCCGAATCGCTTCTCCGACGTCTCGCGGATCACCTCGAATGGTGCCACTTTCGTCCGGCCCGTTTGCCTCTCCTCATTCTCGTCGCTCGGGAAGTCCTCGAAGCTCATGTTGCTGAAGCCGGCGGTCGCGGCCGTGCTTTTCTTGCCCTTCGGCGTCTTCTTGTGGCTCACCGACTTGATCTTGTGAGATGTTTTATGCACCGGCAACACGTTCATCACGTCACCGTGGTTCTCGTTGATCAGATGATACTTGGACTTGTCCGACTTGGACTTGTCCTTCTTGTTGTGCTTCGGCGTGTCGTCGTCCGCGACGACCAGCGGCTCGGGTGACATTGGCGAGATTATGTCGGACGTGATGTCCACCTTGGAGACGCTGTTCACCGCCTGCACGGTGATCCGGGCGGTGTGTGCAGTCGGCTGAATGGTAAAAGTAGGAGTAGACTGCGGCTGCGACGGCGGCGTGGGTGTCAGGTGGACAATAGTGTGTTTCGGCGACTGCACAACGCTAACTGGCAACGTCGTCGTCAGCGCCGTGCTGTCCGCGTAGCTCGGCGACTGGGACAGCGAGAGAGACGTCGGACGCGGCTGCGGCTGCTGCTCGTTGATTTTCAGCGAGGCGAACTCCTCGAACGGAATGGATCCGAACAGATCCTTGGAAGGCTCCTGAATGACCGCCGTCTCGGAGTTCACGGTCACCATGCCGTACTTCGACGTGGACGCCACTGTGCTCGCATGACTAGAAAAATAGTTATTGCAAGACTGCAGCGGGATGCAGTTAGCGTAGTCCACGTACGAGGAGCCCGCCGGGCTGAGGATCGTCGACATCGGCTGAGCCGGCGCGTCGAAACCAGACTGCACGCTGTTGAACGGATTGGTGAATCCACTGGGACTGAACGGGGACGAGCCGAAGAGGTCCCGCTCGACGTTCTCGTCCTCCTCGGCGATGCTGACGTGCGGGCTGTTCTTCACCGGCGACGCTTGAACGATCGGCTGATGAAAGGACGGTGCCTCTTCGTAGATGATTTGGTTGTTCACGGCGCTGATGCTCTTCGGATACTTGCAGGACAAGGCGGGCGGCTTGGACGGCGGCGGCGGTGCCGTTTTACTGTCCGCCACGTCCACGAACACTTCCGCCGGTATCGGCGAGCTGGCGATCGGCGTCACCAAGTTGGAGTTGTGAGGCGAGTTCCTCGCGCTGCCGGGATCGGCGTTCTTCGTCTCGCTCTCGCGACTGTCGCTGCTCTTCCGGGAGCTGCTGGATCTGGGAAAGGGCGCCAGAGCAAACACGTCGTCTTCCATCTTCCACAGTCCGTTGTTCAGCGACTTGGATTTTTCGTTGTCGTCGGACGAGCTGTCGCCATTGTTGAACAGCAGCGGCTTCGAGCCGTACTGGTGCCGCACGAACGGATCGCCGTGCGACTGCTCCGGCTTGGACTCCGGGTCCAGCTCGTCGTCCAGCAGCAGCGGCTTCTCGCCGTACTGGTGGCCGACGATCGGATCCGCGTCGATCGTCGGCAGCTGCTGCTCCTGCTGCCGATAGTGATGCCTCCTCGGCCTCTTCATCCGGTAGTCGTCCTCGTGCGTCGCCACGGACTCGCATTCCGCGTGGTAAGCGGAACTGCCGCACGTGCGCACGCTCTCGGAGATGGTCTCGTCGTGCTTGCCGCGCACGTTGCCGTCCTCATCGTCGTCGTCGTCGTCGTTCTCGCGATCGTCGTTGCCCTCCTCGTCGTTCATCGCGCGCAGATCGCTCGCCGAGCCGATCGAGTCGTCCGACTCGTACTCCACGCTCGCCGCGTTCGCACTCTCCGCGTTATCATGCGCGGCCACCCTCCTCTTGCGGCTCAACACATTCTTCACCCGCCGCCGCTTCGCCTTCTTCGGCCGCTCTTTAGTCTCCTTCGCGCCCTTGTCGCTGTCGCTGGACACCTCGTCCGCGTTGAACGCCAGCTTCTCGTACTTGGAACGATCCTCCGCCGGCGCGCGGACAAACGGCGGCGAGACCGGGCTGGATTCCGTGATCAGGGACGCCTCGTCGTCCACGCCGCCGGTATTGTGCTCAACTCCGGAGTTCCACTGCGTCGCAGGTGCTCTCGCCCTACCGTTCGTCGATTTCCCTGCAAAGCAAAACGTTCCACGTGTTAGCACGATTATGGAATAAACGGTTTCTCATGTAAAGTGCTTCCTGACTTTAAAGTTGGATTATAAACCTCGATTATTGAGAGAAGCGTACTTACCTACGTTCTTTTATAAAATCTCATCAGAAATATCTAATTTGTCAGTAGTGTTATATCTATTTTCTTATATTCTGTTAGTGAAATTTGAGACTCTTTTATGTTATGCAAAGTATCTCAAAGCTAAATGTCTAAATATAAGGATAATACAATATTTCATGAAAACCTGTAAAAATTTGTAGAGACCTGATAGTTTATCGAATCTATGATACGATATCTGTAGAAAAATTCAGCATTTTATCAATTCTTACAGATCTGAGATACTCTATGTATGTGGAACATCATAACATATATATTACAAGTTTCTATATTAATGTAATAAACTGCGAGCTATACATATCCACCAATTTAAGCAATACTTGTAATAAAATTTAATTCACTCCATTTGTTAATGTTATATATAATCTGTCTTAAAATTAGAAATTAATGTACTACATTTTTACTTTTAAATCAAAGCCCCATAATGTTTATACACGTGACAATTGACTCAGAATGCAAAAAAAATTAGAATAAATTTGCAACTATTACAATAAGTATTTTTTAGACCAATTATTAGGAATGTAAATTTACACTTGTAATAATTGGTCTCAAAATGACGCGTTGCAATTTTAGACTAATTTTTTTACGATGCAGCATAGAGCGTACTACTATCTACAGAAGAGAAAGACCCAGAAGAAGAAACAGGAAATGTCTGATTAGGTCTGCTACAGATAGTGCACTTCGCTGAGGGTGCATTGATGTGCATTGATATTTACGATCTTACCGCAATGAGTTTTGAAAAAAAGATAATGTTAGAGATCTTCGACATGGAGAAAGTGGACAAAACAGATCTGTTTCTAATTTAAGCTTTGTTAGTACCGCCACCAATAGGTCTGGAACAGTCCTAATCAGATTCAGGGGGGTTGAGGATAAGTGTCAAAAACGCAGTAATGCTCTGAGTGGCAAGTTCGCTTTAGATCGTCACAGGGAAAACGCATATCCTTTTGTAAGCCGTTAACGTCTCAACAAAGTATTGCTGCGTTTTATGCCAGTAGCGTTGAGAAAAAAAAACAATTCTCGTATGCTAATTTACATTTTTATTGCTGCAACATTGTTTCCCTCAATACAACGAGAAAAGGTACTGTCCAGGATATTTGTCAGCCCCCTATAGTGCTCTCGATTCACAAAAGGATCTCTTATTTTTTTTTCTTTTTTAACTTTTTATGTTTCGTACAAGCTTTGCCGCAGAGACTGCAAGAAGAATGCATGCTTATATCTGACGGTGACGGGCAGATAACAAGTTCTTTACAACGTGTCGCAATTTAACTCACTGTATCGGGGATCTCCGAGATAGCGCGTGTATTATTAGAGACACTATGGGAGACAAACAAAGCAGGACCCGATTGAAAGAAGAAACAGACGGTAGAATTTGTTCGAAAGTATTAAAGTTAGCGTTTGTGCCTCCCAAACTCATTAGGTTGTTCCAGACATTGGACAGATATAAGTTTTTTTTTTTTTCTTTTCTTTTTCGTAAATTCCTCTCTCACACAAAAAACAAGCGCATTTATCAATTGCCATTGTCTCCGCCGTGCCACACACACACCCTGAAGGATTTATGATACTTACACGCTCAGGAAAGAATTAACAATTATGATTTTGATAATATTGTTAATCATAGTAGAAAGAAAGTTATTCTAAATTCGCTTCGCTTCAACATCGCACCAAATCAACTCTCCGACGTAATTCAACGTAAAAAGTATCAATTTGTGCTTTCATATCGTGATATAGAAATTCCATTAATGAGGAATAATAATTACAACAAGTATGTACCATATTGATTAATATCCATAGCATTCATTAGATCATAAGATATGTTCTTTGATACAAATATTAACGTATTCGTGAATGACAGATGGTGTAAAATGCAAAAGTATAAAGAACACACGACGGATCGCAATTTTTACATTTCTAAATAAGATAAGATGATGTAATTCGATACTATGCTCTGATTATTTTTCACAGATAACACTGAATTGCATCATCTTATTCCCAAGATTCGAGTCGATACAAGTGTAAAAGAAGAACCGTGTTAGCTGTACCAAAAAGAAACCCAAATTAGCCAAATAAAAGCAATGACAAGAAACGAAGAACAAAAGGACAAAAAAAATAGGGAAAGAAAGAAAAGAAATGATCCGAGTGAAAGAAACAAGGTCGAAGGAAAAAAGAGCAACAGATACGAAAGTATTATTCTTTGAAACTCTTCCGAAACTGCTAAGTATTATTTGCCAGTCACTGCAGTATTACCATTGCGCGGGCAGATACAATCGTATGATCTTTATATAATAATACTTACATATGTCTATATGTATATATTCACGTACGTTTTCAGAAAACGCACTGCGCAGAAAATCGTCATTTTGTGGGAAGGAAAGGTTCGTACCGGCACTTTCACGCTTAAAAATAAATCACCGTGTTCGAAAATCTTTCTAAAACAAAACAAAATGGTTTTATCCAGTCCCACTGCAAACACATTCCTTGCATTATATTAATCACATTGTGCAATCCTCCAATTACTCATTCGAAACCTATTCTTCCCACGTTTTTTTTTTTGTTTCATATGCTATATAATACAATTATTATAACACAGAATACCTTTACACGTATATATGAGTAGGACAAAATAGTGTACCTCAACTTTTGTATATCACATAATATATAACATAACTTTTCATATATTGCATAATATATATCTACATATATATATATTTGTTCATTTATTTATATATGTATATATTTATACGTAATTTGTTCCTTCCTTTTATCGATTCCACCAGCTATTTCGTACAGAAACGCTAAAAATAAAAGCTAATCCCGCTTTGTGCACTACGTGTCATAGGAACATCTATATTATAAAGTTGAAGACAAAATCTCTTATCATGTATGTTCATCATGTTTTCAACAATATTTTTAATAATTACACTTGCTATAACATAATCAATATATACCATACTTGGCGTCTAATATTCGATGTATTATCCTTACGTTCTGTAACTTACTATTTGAGGTAAGTAGAAGTCAATATGTAATTCACTGGTAATGTTTTATCATCCCTTTCGCATTTTAATTGAGCACAACTGAGCATATCTGCATCACAATCGCTTTTTCGTAGACTTACTAGCAAATAAAGCACTTCAATCATCTCATCTGCCGCACTAAGAAAGCATTTTCAAGCAATTATTTATCTAAAAGAATATTCCGTCATGTTTACAAACAACATAATTTTAACGAAAACACTTTAATAAGCATAAAAATAATTTAGAACATGTATATTATGCATCATTCAAAATTAAAGTGTTTAATTGTGTTTTGAAAATAATAATGTAAAAATATATAAAATCAGATCTAATTCAATTTGTGGCAAGAATCCATCCATAGATTACACTTCTCTTTGTTATCAACTATCTATCCTACCATATTTAACAGATATGATTTGTCCAAAATAACAATCGCGCGATATATTTATGAAACTCATTAAGTTAATAAAAAAATATTTTATTCTTATTTGTTTCGTAACAACATTTAAGTTTTTTAAACTTATTTCACATCTTTGGCAAAATAATAATAGCAAAAATTCACAATTGATTTATTTATACATTATTCACAAGAGAATTAGTCCCTTTTTAATTAAATTTAGTAAAGCAGTGCAACAATGTGACCGATAATATAATGATATCACTGGTAAATAATTATCACAAATCAAGTTTAACATGCAATACTAATTAAATTGAGAAAAGACAGTTATTTTTTTATGTGTTATCTTGAGACATTAAAACATTCCCCCATTTTACGTTATTTAATTTTGTCTATTAATAAATTGAAAAATTAAGATTTATATCTTTGGAAGTACACACATAATATGATACTCAAAGTTTCAACATTTATCTATTGTCCACAAACATGTTGCATAAATATTGCTATTTATAGATAATTCTACTCAATAGCCATTTTAATTGTGGCGTCCAATAACAAAAACTGCAAAAATAAAAAAATGATACTAGATAAAAAAATATTATTTTTTAATCTTAAGAAGAAAACTTTCTTTCAGTCCTAAATAAAACATTTGTCATTTTTGGCCTATACTTTTATATGTTTTATTATGATTCAAAAGTCTCTTCTTTTAATTTCTTAAGTATTTTATAATCCCTAAAGTTTAATTGTCTCAATTGCATAAAATTAATTGAAAAGCAAATGTCATGAAAATAAGTAATTCTACTTGTTAAAGTAGAATTTGGTGTTTAGAAATGTTACCAAACAAAACAAAAAATAAGAAATTTAAATTTATAATTACGTATCTAACATTTCTAATATTTTTGTTCGCATGTAGAGTTGATAAGAAAATATATTTTTAGAAATAGCCTTAGTTGTATATACCAAAGTCACTTCTAGCATTTCATATAATTTTCTATATAGATATATTTTCTAAAATTCAACATCAAGTTTAATATAAAAAAAAAACTGCTCAAGAATTGAATCACTTAAATTAAAATAATATCTATCTCAATTTAAAAATCTTTACCTTTTATCTATTTAAATTTACCAATATATAAAAAGAGAACACTTGATCATAAAACTTTATAAGTTTATATATATATATATATATATATAC